TTAAGATTTGAAGATGCCTAGCTAGGATGTCAGCAGAAGTTTCTAAATCACAAGAAGAAGGAATTCCCGTTTATTCCATTCAGCTCCAACCCTATTTTGAGTACTCTATTCAATTCTGGACATCGTATGTTAAATTATTCAGAGAAACTCAGACAAAGCATGGCAACGAGGAGGTTTGGGGAACTAGAAACTAAGACAACAAGGAAAGCATCTCAAGGTGCCAGAGAAGATTTGAGTGCACAATGGCCTGGGACAAAGAAACTTTTTGAGATGGGTTGGCTTCACCGCAATGAAATCCTTCCTCTTGACTCCTGAGATACTGTACACTCCATGAGGTCCTTGGTCCTCTTTGAGCATGGTGGTTTTCTTGCAGATGTTTCATCACCCAAGTAGGGAACATCATCACTGATCAACACATTATTTTATATACACATAATCCATGAAATGTCTACAAGAAAAATGTCTACAAGCTCTGAGAGCACCAAGGATCCCACCCTTGAATCCTGACCTACAAATATTCACTTCTATCTGTACTATACTCTCCTCTTCTTCTGGTTTTCAGTGCCTACCCTGTCAGGGTTCCCACGGATGCTTGGCCTCGAGCCAAGCTTCAAAAGAAATCCAGTTATTTGCTAGGAGCTCCATGTCCACACATACCCAAATGAAGCCAACTCTGACCCCACATAATTTACAGCCCTAATCATGACCCTGTTTTCCCCCCCCGCCCCCTCCCAGGGTGCGTCATCAATCACATTCACCAATGGAGCAATTTCATGGGTTTTAGAGATCACTCCCCTCCGGCCACTGTGGGTAACCCTGGGATACAGCCTTGAGAAAGATATGTCTGGAATGTGCTCCTGTCTTTGGGTGCTGTGTTGCTTCGTCGGTTCCCCATCCCTCTTGCCTATGGCAACTCAAGAGCAGGCCAAGGATGCTTTACAAGTTGACATACCCACTATTTTGCTTTGACTAAAAAAAATCTCTGGAAGGAGACTGAAGGAGCTGCAAATGGTTAGCCTTCAGATAAAGAGGAGAAAGGATGAGAAGGACAGGAGGTTCCATGGGAGGGTGGGGGAATCCTTTCAGATTTCAAAGTGCAGGACACAGGTGGATGAGAAGCTGGATTTTGATGGAACGGTAGAACTTCATTCCAAGCAATAATTCAAGGAGCAGTTGGTCACTCCTTCCAAGCAGAGGTTGGACCAGAGTTCCTCCACCTTGGTCTCTTGAAGATGGTCATTTATGCCGCCCTTCTCTGGAGACTCAGGGCGGCTTGCAGTGCGTTAAGCAATAGCCTTCATACTTTTGTATATTCCAAGTCAGCTTATTGCCCCCACAATGGTCTCATTTTACCTACCTTAGAAAGATGGAAGGCTGAGTCAACCTTGAGCCTGGCAAGATTCGAACTTACTTTAATTGCAGACAGCTGGTGCTAAATTACAGTGCCTTGTCTGCAGAGCTATCCAGGCCAAGCATGCTTTTAGGAGCGGCAGACTTCATGCTGGCTGGGGAATTCTAGAAGTTGAAGTCCACTCATCTTCAAGCAACCAAGATTGAAAAACATTGGACTAGAGAGTCCTGTGTCTCAGGGGGCTTTAATTTTGGATTCCAGATTGGAATCCAATATTCTGAAATTTACCTTTCCAGCCGAGGGGGTTTTCCTTAATTCTACGGGCAACCGAGCAGTTCTTGTCAGGTCTAATAAACTAGACTTGGTCAACCTGAGATAATGTACAAAAGAATTTCCTTCTTGGCAGGCAGAAATTCCACTGAAATGCTCGGCCACCAACCCCTTTGCCCATCTATGTCTCAAAGCTAGTAATCTGGGTGGATTTAAAGTCCATAAAGTACTCAGATGCCATTCCCCACAGCTGCTCGTCGGAAAATAATGAAGATAATTCCCTCTGCATGGTTTTAAAAATCAAATATGCTTGATCCTCCAAAAAGGAACCTTTGCTGCTGCATTTGAGATTCCAAAACAAACAAACAAACAAACAAACAAAAAAACCACCACCACATTTCTAATAATAATAATTGAAAACCTACTTCAAAAAAAAAACAAGCCATAGTTTAATTTAATTTACGTACTCGGGGCAGTCTATTTATTTCCTCTCCGCCTTAAAGCAAGGAAGAGAGACTCTGGAATCCTGAAAGAGAATTTTAATTAGAAATTCAGCAAAATTGTGTTATGGCTATATTCCCTTCCCCCTCCCAGGGTCTGACAGAAATGTTCTTTTCCCTGACTCAACTTACAGCAAAAAGGAAGGAAGGAAGGAAGGAAGGAAGGAAGGCAGGCAGGCAGGCAGGCAGGCAGGAAGGAAGGAAGGAAGGAAGGAAGGAAGGAAGGAAGGAAGGAAGGAAGGAAGGCAGGCAGGCAGGCAGGCAGGCAGGAAGGAAGGAAGGAAGGAAGGAAGGAAGGAAGGAAGGAAGGAAGGAAGGCAGGCAGGCAGGCAGGCAGCAGGAAGGAAGGAAGGAAGGAAGGAAGGAAGGAAGGAAGGAAGGAAGGCAGGCAGGCAGGCAGGCAGGCAGGAAGGAAGGAAGGAAGGAAGGAAGGAAGGAAGGAAGGAAGGCAGGCAGGCAGGCAGGAAGGAAGGAAGGAAGGAAGGAAGGAAGGAAGGAAGGAAGGAAGGAAGGAAGATAAAAAGTCTTGTCATGATCGTGATGGTTGCATTCCCAAACCTACATAATCCCATCCATTCAGCAGAAGACCAAAAGGAGAAGAAAAAAAAAATAGATTTATTGGCAGGGCAAGAAGGATTAAGTTACCTTGGCTTGAGTTTTTTTGGCCTTCTTAGATCAAATTAATGCACAGGAGTTAGGAATATTGTGGATAGGTATCCTTAAAGGTAAAGGTTCCCCTCGCACATACGTGCTAGTCGTTCCCGACTCTAGGGGGCGGTGCTCATCTCCGTTTCAAAGCCGAAGAGCCAGCGCTGTCCAAAGACGTCTCCGTGGTCATGTGGCCGGCATGACTCAACGCCAAAGGTGCACGAAACGCTGTTACCTTCCCACCAAAGGTGGTCCTATTTTTCTACTTGCATTTTTTACGTGCTTTCGAACTGCTAGGTTGGCAGAAGTTGGACAAGTCACGGGAGCTCACCCCGTTACGCAGCACTAGAGATTCGAACCGCCGAATTGCCGACTTTCCAATCGACAAGCTCAGCGTCTTAGCCCCTGAGCCACTGTATCCTTAGGCAGGAATTAACCATTTTTTTCCCAAAATGCTTTTTTCAAAGGACAACTAACTTTCTTGATATTTTTTTATTTCCCCTTGAAAAGGTTTTGCTTCCTCATCCAAGAAGCTTCCTCGGTTTAGAAAGTTCAGAACTGAAGAAGCTTCTTGGATGACAAATGAGTTGTTTTCAAGGAGGGTGGGGGAAACAACAACCCAAGATCCAGATGCCTTTGGAAAAAGCACCTTTGGGACAACCATGATCTGGATGAGGGGAAAGACTCCATAGACATTCAACCGTGCTCTTCCTAGCTGTGCAAGGTGGACAAAGAGAAGACAGAGAAGTCAAACCAAGAAGATCTCCTGTCTCAGTAGCTCCAGAGGAAAGGAGAGGTCCTCCTAGTGATTGAGGTCATCTTCTTTCTCTTTGTGATCCAAGTTGAACAATGAGAGGGCTGAATTTAAGGAACAAACTCCTGCCAGCCATCAAACAATAATCTACCAAGCAACCATCCATCTTATGGATGGATTGTCTACTCTGAAGTCATCTGATGCCCACTTAGCACAAACCTGAATCCATAAAAGCTTTATTTAATAACTTCTACCTTTTCCATTAGTTTTTTTTTCCTCCCCCAAGAGTCCATCACTGGACGCTGTCATTTAAAAACAGTGGCCAGCTCCTTCAAGACATAAATCACCTCTAGGTCCCAATCAGAAAACGCCTTCAGAAAACTCCGTCCGAAAAGCTCCACAATTGCTAAAATGTTTTTGTTTTTTTTTGCACTACATCCAAAGCTTTGGATTTGTTTGAATGAAACTGAACCCAGAAACATTCGATAGGCAGGCAGGCAGTCCTTGACTTACAATAGTTCATTTAGTGACCAGTTACAACGGCCCTATAAAAAGTGACATTAAGAGCCTTGATAGTACAGTGGTCTAAGCACCCTTTTATTAACACAGCTGCCTGCAATTACTGCTGGTTCGAATCTCTCCAAGGCTCAAGGTTGACTCAGCCTTCCATCCTTTCTAAGGTAGGTGAAATGAGGACCCAGTTTGTGGGGGCAATAAGCTGACTTTGTATAAATATACAAAAGTATGAAGGCTATTGCTTAACGCACTGTAAGCCGCCCTGAGTCTCCGGAGAAGGGCGGCATATAAATCAAAATTAAAAAAAAAAAAGAGCGTTTTTCACACTTATGACCATTGCAGCATCCCTGTGGTCAGGTGGTCAAAATTCAAACATTGGGCCACTGGTTCAGATTTACGACGGTTGCATTGTCCCCGGGGTCACATAATTCCCTTTTGCGACCTTTTGACAAGCAGACTCAAAGGAGGAGCCTGGTGGTGCAGCAGACTAAAGCACTGTTATTAACATCAAAGCTGTCTGCAATTACTGTAAGTTCGAATCTCACCAGGCTCAAGGTTGACTCAGCCTTCCATCCTTTCTAAGGTAGGTAAAATGAGGACCCAGATTGTGGGGGAAATAAGCTGACTTTGTATAAATATACAAAAGTATTGCTTAACGCATTGTAAGCCACCCTGAGTCTCCGGAGAAGGGCGGCATATAAATCAAATTTAAAAAAAAATAAAAATGGGGGAAGTCAGATTCACTTAACAACCGGGTTACTAATTTAACAACTGCAGTGATACACTTTGCAACTGTGACACTTTCTGTAACATGGAACAACATTTATGACTATCTCGCTTAACGGGAGAAATTTTTGGGTTCGTTTGTAGTCGTAAGTCAAGGACTACCCCTATTGAGAAAAACCTCACCGATGACCAGAAACAGGATGCAATCTTGCAATGGATCACAGTTTACAGGATAAAGATTGCCATTTATGTAATTTAATTCTCACCAAAGGTACAAAACTTAGACAACGCAATGCTACGAGAATGCTGAAAATAGGACTTTGTCACACATACAAGGAAAGGGTTGATGTGTTGTTTTTTTTAACTTTAAAATAGGAAATCTATTCCTTAGCTAAAAGTCTATATAGAGGTCAGGGTTTCGTATCTCACAGTAACATGGCTATTTTCATCATACACATATTAAAAATAGAAATATTTTAGCTTGAAACGATGGTATCTACAAAAATTTGTTAACTATCCATGGGAGGGGGAAAAATGGCCTTAGAAGACAGGGTTATAAGGGATTTGAGGCTGGGAGCTACCAATGAACTATACAAGAAATCCCCACCGTTTTGGAGTTTGTTTATGAAAATAAATTTGCTCTACAAGCAAAGTCCTTTTTTTTCCCCAAAAGGCCCCTCGGATAAATGGGAAACGGATGCCAAACTAACTAACTCCTTGCTGGTTTTAAATCTTTGCTCAGCATATGCTGAGTCATCCAAAGGAATGAATCGTGGTTGTTGTTTTTTTTTAAAAAAAGAATTCACTAACTTTGAGATGTTGTTGTTGTTTTTTTAGATAAGCTACCCAACTTAAAAAATAAAAATAAATAAAACGAAAGTCATTTCTTCCCTGATTAAATCACAACAGGAGTCTTGCGTCCTTCACAAATCAGTCTCCCGGGTAGAATCCATACAAAGTGCATAAAGGGACTTCCTAAGATCTATGGTGCTATTGGCTTTGAGGTTGGTTTTCTCCACCGACCTGGTCCCGTTGTGGGTCTCGTCGAGGTGCTCCAAGTGCATCACGGATTTACAGGAGGAGTTTTTACTCTTCGCCTCTTCCTCTGAGCTGCCGTGAACGCTTCCCGGGTCATCTTGGAGAAGACTTTGATCCGTCTCTCGGTGGTAGAAGTAGTTGAAGTTGGACACGATCACCGGCACGGGTAGGGCGATGGTGAGCACGCCAGCGATGGCACACAAGGAACCCACAATCTTCCCTCCGACGGTGATGGGGCTCATATCACCGTAGCCCACCGTCGTCATGGTGACCACAGCCCACCAGAAGGCATCCGGGATGCTGGAGAAGTAGGATTCGGGGTCATCGGCTTCGGCAAAATAGACGGCGCTGGAGAAGAGGATGACCCCGATGAAGAGGAAGAAGATGAGGAGGCCCAGCTCCCTCATGCTAGCTTTCAAGGTCTGTCCCAGGATCTGCAACCCTTTGGAGTGCCTGGACAGCTTGAAGATCCTGAAGACTCTTACCAGGCGAATGACCCGCAGGATGGCCAAGGACATAGCTTGCTGCTGGCCTCCACTGTTGCCCTGTTGTTGTTGTTGTTGTTGCTGCTGCTGTTGTGGTTGTGGTTCTCCCTTCTGCTGCTCATGAGCCAGCTCGGTGCCCAGAGTGATGAAGTAAGGGATGATGGCCACCACGTCGATGATATTCATGATGTTCTTGGAGAACTCCGGCTTGCTGGGACAGGCGAAGAACCGTACCAAGAGCTCGAACGTGAACCAGATGACGCAAGTGGTCTCAATGACGAAGAAAGGGTCGGCTAGGATGCCCGGACGCGGCGTCTGGCCCGTAGGATCCCGGATCTCCGCCGGCTCCTCTTGGAACTCCGGCAAGGTCTCCAAGCAAAAGGTGACAATGGAGATGAGGATAACCAACACGGAGACGATGGCGATGCCCCGAGCCGAGCCGGAGCTCTCGGGATACTCAAAGATCAGCCACACCTGACGTTGGAACTCATGGGTGGGCAGAGGTTTCTCTTCCTCCCGCAGGAAGCCTTCCTCCTCCCGGAACCGCTCCAAGGCCTCCTCGCCCAGCTGGTAGAAGCGCACCTCGTCGGCGAAGACTTCCAAGGAGACGTTAACCGGCCGGCGGAGTTTTCCTCCCGACTGATAGTAATAGAGGATGCCGTCGAAGCTGGGCCGGTGCCGGTCGAAGAAATACTCGTTGCGCAGAGGATCGAAGTAGCGCAGCCGTTTAGCCGGGTCGCCAAGCAGCGTCTCCGGGAATTGGTCCAAGGTGCCCAGGCGCGTCTCGAAGCGCAGGCCCGACACGTTCAGCAAGACGCGCTCGGCCAGCTCCCCTTCCCCAGCGCTCTCCATCTCGGCGGCTGCCATGGCCAGGCCGAGCCGAGCCAAGCCGGGACGGGAGGAAGGGAGGAAGGAAGGGAGGGAGGCCGAGGCTCTCCGGCTCGTCCGCCCTGGCTCAGCCTCGCTCGCCTTCTGCGGGGCCGGCGGTGGTCCTTGGGCAGCCTTTGGAGGCGAGGGTCCGGCTCCCAGCCGCCCCGACGCCCTTCCTTGCCTTGGGGCGCCCGAGCGCAAGCCACCGGCCGGGGACCCCGCGCCGAAGATGCCGCGCACCGCCCGCGCCTGACGTCAAGGAGGCTGCGCTTCAGCGCCCCGGCGGGCGGACGAGCGAAGCGGGGAGGGGACGGAGGCAGGCGGGGAGGGAGAGAGAGAGAGAGAGAGAAGGAGGGAGGGAGGGAAGGAAGGAAGGAAGGCTGCTTTCGGGCCGCTTCCCCCGGTGCGTCTCCAGGCCTCCCCGCGCATTGGAGATGGAGAAGCAGAGAAGTCTCCATCGCGCCCCAGGAGGACCAGCCTCGGTTTTGGATTGAATCGCGCGTTCCCTGTGGCTGAGCGTGGGAGCAGCTCTGGGCGCCCTCTCCGCGCAAGGGATTGGCCGCGGAGAGGCAGCCCGGAGGATTTCCCAGCGCTAGCCCCAACTGGAGACTGGGGAGGGGGCTGAGAAGCGAAGCAGCCCCCGGAGGAGTTCCCAGCGCGCCCCAGTTGGAGACCCCCTCCTCCCTCCATGCGCGCTGGGAAATCCCTGGAGGATTTCCCAGCGCGCCCCAGTTGGAGACCCCCTCCTCCCCCTCCCCATGCCTTGGACTGGGCAGCCCCCGGAGGACTTCCCAGCGCGCCCCAGTTGGAGACCCCTTCTCCCCCTATGCTCGGGACTGGGCAGCCCCCGGAGGATTTCCCAGCGCGCCCCAGTTGGAGACCCTTCCTCTCCCCCCCCCCATGCCTGGGACTGGGCAGCCCCCGGAGGACTTCCCAGCGCGCCCCAGTTGGAGACCCTTCCTCTCCCCCCCCATACCTGGGACTGGGCAGCCCCCGGAGGATTTCCCAGCGCGCCCCAGTTGGAGACCTCTCCTCCCCCCATGCTCAGGACTGGGCAGCCCCCGGAGGATTTCCCAGCGCGCCCCAGTTGGAGACCTCTCCTCCCCCCATGCTCAGGACTGGGCAGCCCCCGGAGGATTTCCCAGCGCGCCCCAGTTGGAGACCCCTCCTCCCCCCCATGCCTGGGACTGGGCAGCCCCCGGAGTATTTCCCAGCGCGTCTCAGTTGGAGACCCCTTCTCCCTCCACGCCAGGGACTGGGCAGCCCCCGGAGGATTTCCCAGTTGGAGAACTCCCCCGCCGCCTAGGACTGGGGGAGGGTGTCTGAGAAGCGAAGCAATCCCCCACCCCAAGCAGCCAAAGGGAACGGCTTCTGGGCAGCCCAAGGCGCGCGGAGGGGCGCAGCCGCATCTTCTCCGGCTTCGGGATCGCTCTGCGTGTCCTGCGAGGAAGCGGGCAGTGGGAGACCGAGTCCGCGCCGGCGCTGCCTAGGGCCGGTTGAGTTTTGAAGGCGCTGGGTTGGAAAGGAAAGAAACTTGGGAGGGGGGGAGAGTCCAGTCTCAGGGATGGGAGACACCCCCCTCCCCCCAGCAAGAGAGTCACCAACCAAGCCTGCCTGAGCAGGGGGTTGGACTAAATGACCTCCAAGGTCCCCTCCAACTCTGTTACTGTTAAACCACGCGTCCCGGAGGGAACTTGAACTCACCTCCCTCCCCGTTTTTTCCAGAAATTAAGCCCCTTAAATTAATTAAGGGTGAAGATCCACAATAATAAACAAACACGTTGCATTTCTTTCTGGTTCCTTTATTTATAAAGATTTAAAAGGGTAATGAATCCTGTCCTTTGGGTGGACTTTTTCTGGAGGTTTTTTTTTTTTTCCCCAGAGCCCTTCAAAATTTAGTCTCCCCCCCCCTTTGACCTTCCCCTGCTGTTTTATTCACACACACCCACACACATCCCAGAACAATGGGGAGCCTGTTAAATCCAATTATCGTCAGGTGACCATCCATTGTTCATAGCAAGAAAAAGACTTTCTCCTGGAAGTGATGTTCCAGGCAACGCCGCTTTGAAATTCATTAGAATTGCGGGATGTTTAAAACAGCTCAAAAATGCGCTTTCGCCCAAAAAGTTTAAAACACTTTGGATCTGGTTTTTCCTCTCCCATTGGGTCTTTTTTTCTTTTTCCCCCGCTCCATCCTTTTTCCTTCAAACGCAGCCAGGCGTCAAATTCGCTTCGTGGGAAAGGCAAAATAAGCCTCTGTCAAGGGTGAAATGAAATCCAGCAGGTTCTGACAGGTTCTGTAGAACCGGTAGCAGAAATTTTGAGTAGTTTGAGTGGCTGGCCCCAGAGTGGGTTGGGAATGGAGATTTTGCAATATCCTTCCCCTGGAGTGGGGAGGGAATGGAGATTTTGCAGTATCCTTCCTCTAGGAGTCGGTTGGGAATGGAGATTTTGCAATATCCTTCCCCTGGAGTGGGGAGGGAATGGAGATTTTGCAATATCCTTCCCCTGGAGTGGGGAGGGAATGGAGATTTTGCAATATCCTTCCCCTGGAGTGGGGTGGGAATGGAGATTTTGCAGTATTCTTCCTCTAGGAGTCGGTTGGGAATGGGGATTTTGCAATATCCTTCCCCTGGAGTGGGGCGGGAATGGAGATTTTGCAGTATTCTTCCTCCAGGAGTGGGGAGGGAATGGGGATTTTGCAGTATCCTTCCCCTGGATTGGGGTGGGAATGGAGATTTTGCAGCATCCTTCCCCTGCCATGCCCACCAAGCCACGCCCACAGAACCGGTAGTAAAAAAAAAAATTCCTATTTCACCACTGGTCTCTGTCCATAATCATTCATTGACGCTGACTGCTGTTTTTCCAACTTTGGGCCAAATTAATTCCCCCTTTACCCAATTGTACGAGACTGCAAGGCGATCCAACCGGCCAGTCCTAGAGGAGATCAACCCTGACTGCTCTTTAGAAGGCCAGATCCTGAAGATGAAACTCAAATATTTTGGCCATCTAATGAGAAGGAAGGACTCCCTGGAGAAGAGCCTAATGCTGGAAAAGATTGAGGGCAAAAGAAGAAGGGGACGACAGAGAATGAGGTGGCTGGATGGAGTCACTAAAGCAGTAGGTGTGAACTTAAATGGACTCCAGAGGATGGTAGAGGACAGGAAGGCCTGGAGGAACGTTGTCCATGGGGTCGCGATGGGTCGGACACGATTTTGTGACTAACAACAACAAAATGAGAGATTATCATCTTCTATTTATTTTTTTAAAAAAAGAAATCTTTAAATTCTTCCATTAAAGTTTTTGGGAATTCAGCTCAAGTAGTTCTTCTCTCATTTCCATAACTGCTGTTTCGCTCGTTCTGGAATAAAACTGACTTTTTTTTTTTTTTTTTGATTTCCCTCGTTTTGCGTATTTATCTTTTGTGGACGAGGATTATATGAATGACTCACGAGCTACATCTGCAGATGTGGCATTATTTTTTTTCTCCAGCTTTGGAATTTATTTATTTTTTTATCGTATCCACATGTTCATCTCATCTGCTAATTCTTCGAAAGAGAGAGAGAGAGAGGAAAAAAAGCCATTTTGGATGGTCTTGTCCTAAGAACTGAAGTAGACTTTTCGTTCTTCAAATACGTGTAGGCTTTTCCTGAGAGTGAAGAAGTGAGAAAAATTTCACGTCGTCCCATTGCAAAATTTTATAGTGAACGTATCTTGAAACTCACACGGTTGAGTAACCCTAGCGATATATATATATATATAGGGAAAAACAGGTGGTCCTCAACTTACGGCTAGAATTGAGCCCAACATTTCTGTCACTAAGTGAGACATTAGTTATGCCCCGTGAGACAACCTTTCTTGCCATAGATATGAAGTGAATCCTCAACTTATGACCACAATTGAGCCCAACATTTCTGTCACTAAGTGAGATATTGGTTATGTCCTGTTTTACGACCTTTCTTGCCATAGTTGCGAAGTGAATCCTCAACTTACAACTGCAATTGAGCCCAGCATTTCTGTCACTAAGTGAGACATTGGTTATGCCCTGTTTTACGACCTTTCTTGCCAGAGTTGCAAAGTGAATCCTCAACATACGACCACAATTGAGCCCAACATTTCTGTCACTAAGTGAGACATTGGTTATGCCCCGTTTTACGACCTTTCTTGCCATAGTTGCAAAGTGAATCCTCAATATACGACCACAATTGAGCCCAGCATTTCTGTCACTAAATGAGACATTGGTTGTGCCCCATGAGACGACTTTTCTTGCCATAGTTGCAAAGTGAATGGTTGCGGTTGTTAAAGTTAATAACTCAGTCCTTAAGTGAAACTGGATTCCCCGTTGACTTTGCTTGTCTGAAGGTCGCACAAAGGGGATCACCTGATCCACCCCCCAGGGACACTGCGACCGTCATAAATATGAGCCAGTTGCCGAGCGTCTGAATTTTGATCACGTGATCCTGGGGAATGCTGCAACGGTCGTAAGTGTGAAAAACAGTCATAAGTCACTTCTTTCAGTGCTGTTGTAACTGTGAACTGTCACTAAACGAACTGTCATAAGTCAGGGGCTACCTGTGTTTGTACTTTTTTACAAGAGTTTTACAATAACATGTCTCCTTAGAACCAGAAACACTACCATAAAAGTAAAAGTGTGCTAGTCGTTCCCGACTCTAGGGGGCGGTGCTCATCTCCGTTTCAAAGCCGAAGAGGCAGCGCTGTCCGAAGACGTCTCCGTGGTCATGTGGCCGGCATGACTAAACGCCAAAGGTGCACGGAATGCTATTACCTTCCCACCAAAGGTAGTCCCTATTTTTCTACTTGCATTTTTTACCTGCTTTCGAACTGCTAGGTTGGCAGAAGCTGAGACAAGTAATGGGAGCTCACCCCGTTACGCGGCGCTAGGGATTCGAACCGCTGAACTGCTAACTTTTCGATCAACAAGCTCGGCATCTTAGCCACTGAGCCACCGCATTCCTTGTAAACACTACCATATCCCACAGTAAATGCAGAGATCACAATTCTGACACAGTCCTTCTAATTTTTTTTTATTTTTGGTTTAAAAAAGTTCCCTCTTTCACTTCGCCCTTCCAAAAAGATCCTCAACAATTCCTAAAAATTCCTTCACAAAAAAATTGATCAGCAGAATCAAGTGGCCATCACATACTGTGTTTCCCTGAAAATAAGACCCTGTCTTATATTTTTTTGAACCCTGAAATAAGCGCTTAGTCTTATTGCCATGCGCTCAAAAGCCCAATTGGGCTTATTTATCAGGGGATGTCTTATTTTGGGAGAAACGGGGTATGACTTTGGGCTCTGTTTCTGAAGCTCGGGATAAAAATGGCCTCATCCTCTACCACCCCTTCTCCTCTCCCCCCATCATTGTTCATTGCCCCCCACAGCCCTAAATCTGGGGGGGGGAAGCTAGGCTTCCCATTCCCCATATTAAGGAACCTCAACCAGTAAATCTGTTTCCTCTCTTCCTTTGATTTATTTGTAAATAAGTGAAATGCTGCATTAAAAAAAAAAACTACATTTCTTGGAATGGTAAAATTTGGAGTTTCCTCTTTTTTTACAAGTTTAGTAATAGCATGGTGGACTCTTTTTTTAAAAAAACTGGATAAGATTGACAGGAGCATGACCTGTCACAGTAAAAATGCTAAAAAAAATTGTTTTAGAAATTGACAAGAGTTAACCTAAAAATGAAATTGACAAGAGTCGACTTCAAAATGGCATCTACAAGTTTCAATTTCAAAAATGAAACTGACAATCGCTTTCAAAAATGAAATTGACGATCGCTTTCAAAAATGAAATTGATGATCAATTTCAAAAATGAAATTGACAAGAGTCGACTTCAAAATGGCATCTACAAGAGTCAATTTCAAAAATGAAACTGACAATCGCTTTCAAAAATGAAATTGACGATCGCTTTCAAAAATGAAATTGATCGATTTCAAAAATGAAATTGACAAGAGTCGACTTCAAAATGGCATCTACAAGAGTCAATTTCAAAAATGAAACTGACGATCGCTTTCAAAAATGAAATTGACGATCGAAATTGACAATCGATTTCAAAAATGAAATGGACAACTGTCGGTTCCCTTTTCTAGCCTAGGTGACCAGAGAAATGACAAAACAGATGTTTTCTGGTTTTTTTACTGATCAATTAGAAGATGCCCCAGTGGGTTAAGTATATAACATACTCCATTGACTCCCAGTGGGGGAGTCAATGGTGGGCGGGGCTTCTATAAAAGGTCTGTCAATGGATGCTTCATGTCCTCAAAGCTTCATCCATCCACCCACCAACACCAGAAAGAGAAGTCGTGGGTCCTTGCTTTCCCACAATTGATTATAGGAGTAAGTATTTTTTTAACAGTAACAGAGTTGGAAGGGACCTTGGAGGTCATCTAGTCCAACCCCCTGCTCACACAAGAAACCTGTACTAGGGATTCGAACCGCCGAACTGCCGACCTTTCTGATCGACAAGCTCAGTGTCTTAGCCACTAAGCCACCCAGTCAGTCAGCAGGGGGAGGGCACCAATTAGGGACCGCATTAAGCATGCTTTGAACAACACTTCAAAGAGCATCAAGGTAGCCAAAATGGAGCAATGACAGGTGCGAAAGACCAGATCCACATGTGAAGGTCCAATGAAACTGACTTATCACTAAAAAGCCTACTCAGAGGAATCTTCTCAGCTAACAGCTAAAACCTGCTTTGTCAGAGTGCGCACAGTGTGACTATTTTGAGACAACCCAGGAGCAAAATACAGTAAACAGAGGTTTGTCTTTCAAATAGTGGTTTATCTACAAGGACTATATACATACACGTACTAGGCAAAGTCAGGCAATCAATCATCAACTACAGCACGGAAGCACACATGGAGAGAGAGAATGTTCTGACAGGGTTTCTCTTATATATACAGCCTCTTAAAGTGGTATGTCAAATAACCCTGCTGACTCATTCTCATTGCATCATCAATCCTCAAGCTACCTTGAGTGAATTTGATCCTTTGTTTCCAATAAATGTGACTACGTGGGGATTCCAGGCTGATTCCTCTTTTGATTCTATCCCCCAGGTTCTGCCACTCCTTCTACTACAGGTAAGGAGACGGACTTCAAAAATAAATTCTTTACGGTTCTTTAATTTCCAGCATGTTTACACACAGAAGTCACATAGCCGCCATCACACCTATGCTGAATAGAGACTATTATTGTATTCAATATTTTGGATTTTCTTTTTGGGGAAAAGACTAAAAACAGCATGCTTTTCTGTTGTGGTCCTCCAGCAGCCTGCAGAGCTGGCAGCGGAGTCAGACAGTGAGGAGGCTGGGGAGGAACATGGGCTAGTCTTGGAGTCTGGGGAAGGCCTGGACGAGGGCTCTGCGTCGGAGGCAGAGATGGGGCCAGGGCCATCTGGGAGTGATGCACAGACTCCGGAGCCCCCAGAGTCGGACAGCAGAGAGGCAGAGGAACAGGAGGAGCCTGTTCCTAGTGCGCGCATGAGAAGAGCTGCCAGAAGGCAAGAGCAGCTCAAGCAAAAAGGACGACTCGGGAGTAAGGCAAGGAGATGATTGGCCCCTCCCATAAGTCTTAAAAGAGAAACAAAGGCACTTGGGCCTTTTTGCAGGAAAGCAACATTGCTAACTCTGTTTCCAGTCGGCATCTCTTGTTTGTTTCTGAACTTCATGGGGCTTTGCCAAGTAAGGCCTTTGGCAGGGTGTCAAAGAAGATAAAGGTTGGTGATTATCCCAAAGGACTTCTTCTGAAGGACTTAATTGGGACTCAGCTGGGAATGAACGTAATTCTCAGCTGTTACAATAAAATAGGTTTGTTTGGGACTAATTGTGTCTTGTAATGATTCAGTAAGCCTAGGTCCCAACACTTTTCTGGGACAGCAGCGACCACACAGGAACAATTAAAAAGGCACACTTGGCTTCTCAAGTTTTGATAACTGTCACCTTTAATATAAAAATGCAGTGAAATTTTTTAAAAAAACCAAATCAAAAGACCGTCTCTCAGAAGAGAATCAGCTATGAAGGCACGTCATTTTCAGATCTTTGTTTAAAGAAGCAAATGGGGATTTTTTAAAAAATAATAATAATCCTACAAACAGATTCCAGTTTCTCAACCTTGGAAACTTTAACATGTGTGGACTTCAACTCCCAGGATTCCTCCTGGCTGGGGAATTCTGGGAGTTGAGGTCCACACATCTTAAAGCTGACAACGTTGAGAAATACCGCTCTCGAGGATAATAGCAATAGCACTTAGACTTATATACTGCTTCACAGTGCTTTACCGCCCTCTCTAAGTGGTTTACAGAGTCAGCGTCAGCGTTTCAATGCTGGCATAGAGAGCAGAGGAGAGCGAGAGATAAACTCTGAAACTTTTGCCTGCCAAATCCCTTTGAAGTCAGGTTGTCGTGGAAATGAGGGGAGGGGGCACATTCCTGGGAGATGACGAGAAAAGAAGTCTGAAGAATGACTTGGAAGATAGCCAATGAGAAGCAGAGATTTGGGGATCGGAAAGGGAGGGATTGGGGGGGCAAAAGGTCAGTCTTGTCCACGCGGAGTCATGATCTGGTGGCTGTGCTCAATTAAAGAAAGATTTCCTTAAAGATTGGCAGTTTGGAAATTCATTTAATTTTGAGATAGCAACGTAGTCTGACAGTCAGCCTCTTGCCCCCTCAGCAATCTGGGTCCTCATTTTACCCACCTCGGAAGGACGGAAGGCTGGGCCAACCTTGAGCCTGGTGAGATTTGAACTGCCAAATTGCAGGCAGCCGGCAGGCAGGAGAAGGAGCTTGCAATACCGCACTCTAACCACCGCGTCACCGTGGCTCATTATAATGGAAGTTAATCTCACTCTGCTTGGTGCTTCCATGAAGGAAATGATAACGTGATCCTTCGAGATCTGCAGAGAGGAAGGGTGTTGCAACTTGGGTTACTGATGGAAATCTCTTCGCTTTGCATCTGTCAAGCCTTTTCTCACCCTTTGCCATGGGTAGTTTGGCTGACTCACCTACCACAATCTGCAATACCTGCCTGTTTTCTAAAGCTCATTCATCTAAGGAGCTTGTTGCAGTTTCAGAAGATTCTAAAGAGAAGATTCTGACATGGTAGCAGTCTTCCAATATGCTGCCACAAAGAAGAGGGGATCAACCCACGGGTGAAATCCAGCAGGTTCCGACAGGCTCTGGAGAACCGGTAGCGGAAATTTTGAGTAGTTCGGAAAACTGGCAAATACCACCTCTGGCTGGCCCCAGAGTGGGGTGGGAATGGAGATTCTGCAGTATCCTTCCCCCAGGAGTGGGGAGGGAATGGGGATTTTGCAGTATCCTTCCCCCAGGAGTGGGGTGGGAGTGGAGATTTTACAGTATCCTTCCCCCTGGGGTGTGGTGGGAATGGAGATTCTGCAGTATCCTTCCTCCAGGAGTGGGGAGGGAATGGGGATTTTGCAGTATCCTTCCCCTAGAGTGGGGTGGGAGTAGAGATTTTGCAGTATCCTTCCCCTAGAGTGGGAGTAGAGATTCTGCAATATCCTTCCCCCAGGAGTGGGGTGGGAGTGAAGATTTTGCAGTATCCTTCCCCCAGGAGTGAGGTGGGAGTGGAGATTCTGCAGTATCCTTCCCCCAGGAGTGGGAGGGAATGGAGATTCTGCAGTATCCTGCCATGCCCACCAAGCCACGCCCACAGAACCAATAGTAGAAAAATTTGGATTTCACCACTGGTCCCTTCCAATTCTGTTATTTTGCTATCTGTTGGATTCTTGCCCAGCCTGAAGACCAGATCAAACTCAAAAGAGAGAGCTTGATTTCCCCTCCTTCCCTACCTTTGCCTGCAGCTCACCTTCTTCTGCCAAGGGACGAGGACTGCAGTGACTTCTCTGAGACTCCGTTTCAGCATATTCATCAACAAATCCCTTACAGGATCAGTCAAATTGTTCCCCGGTGCAATTAAGGATGCTGGCTGATTTCCATGGCTTCTTGCTATTTTCAGCAATGTTCAAAGTCTTCCCCCACAATGTTACAGTGCAGGAACTGTGCCTGGAAGGGCAACGTAAAGGGGAGCTGCTGGTACCAAGTTTTCATTGGCACAAAAGATGGAGAAGAAAAATAGCCCAGAATAGAGGGTTCTTTGAGGGGACAGCAAGCAGTTGGAAGCAATAGGGCAGGAAAATCATCTCGAAGGCTGGAGAAAGAACAAAGAGCGAAATGCCCAGCAAGAATCATAGAGTCGTAAGGCTGGAAGCAACCTTGGAGGTCTTCTAATCAAACCTCTTGCCTGTTATGACCTAGGCTTCCTTCGAAAGTATACAGCACAATCTTAGTCCCGGCAAACCTCTTTAATTCATACGGCTGTGAATTATTGTCATTTCCAGTCTGAAAGGCTCCTCAAACAGTCTTACAGAGGAGTGTTTACAAACACCCACCTTATCTCCCTTGGAATGCTGCCAGAGAACTAATTGCCACACGCAGGGCAAGGCCAAACTTAGCACAGAGTCAAATGGAACTTTTCCAAAGCTTTTACCGACCAGATGAACTCATTGCTTCCTGCAAAAGCTCACGTCCCGTTCGCTTCTCTTTTATGTCTTATGGGAGGGGCCAATCATCTCCAAGCCTTACTCCCAAGTCGACCCTGTTTTCTTAATTGTTCCTGTCTTCCGGCAGCTCTGCACATGCGCACACTGGGAACAGGCTCACACTGTTCTTCTGTCTCGCTGATGTCAGACTCCGGAGGCAGCAAAGTACTACCAGATGGCCTCGTCCATCTCTCTGCCTCCGTCTCAGAGCCCTCGTCCGAGCCTTCCCCAGACTCCAGGACTGGCCCACGTTCCTCCCCAACCTCCTCACTGTCCGAATCTGCTGCCAGCTCTGCTGGCCGCTGGCAGACCACAACATTGCCCAAGGCAGGAGACCTTATACCATCCTGGACAAACGAATGTTCAATCTTTCTTGAAAACTTCCAGAGATGGAGCACTGGTAACTCTCATAGGCTAGCTGTTTCATCAGTTCATTATTCTCACATACCTAGTTCCCTTAACCATTCATCCTACGGTTTAGTCTCTTATCATCCCTGTTGCTCTTCTCTGCACTCTTTCTAGGGTCTTTCTTTTCTCCCAGATCTCATTCAGCTGCAGAGTTGACTGATCCTGTTGATGGACATGATGGTTCCTTGCATGGTGTCCACAATAAAAAAAAAAAAGAGGTTGAGACTCTGGAAAGAGTGCAGAGAAGAGCCACAAAAATGATTCTTTTAGCTGGAGGCTAAAAGAAACAGGAGGAGTTGGGTATGTCTAGTCTAGCGAAGGGAAGGGAAGGACTAGGGGAGACGTGATAGCAATATTCCAATATTTGAGGGTGTCGGGGCGTTGATTAATCCCATTCTGCTTTTGGGATAATCGCACCTTGATTACGAGGGGCGGATCGAGACCTTTCCTTGCAAGTATACTTGCAAAGTATACTTTGCAAGTATACTTTGCAAAGTTTTGCAAGTATACTTTGCAAAACCCGAAGATATTTTCTAAGAAAACTCATTTATTTGTTATAAAGAAAATTAAATTTATTTGTTATAAAGAAAATTAAAAAAAAAAATAAAACACCTAATCTAAAACACCTGATCTAATAAGTTATATTTTGAATAAAGGTTCATGCCGGCTGCTTCTCAGCCGGACCTTCCTGGCAAGAGAACAAAAGAAAAGTGTGTGTGAAAGAATGTGGGTGGATACACGTAGCTTACTGATAAGGATTCTTGGCAAGCTACGGAAAGTCTGATAGTCCAGAAATAATGAGCTCAGCTGGTAAATATAAAAACGCAGTGACAGAGGGGCTCCTACAAAGACGAGGGGGTCAGTCTATTTTCCAAAGCACCAAAAAGCAAGACAAGAAACAATAGTTGGAAACTAACAGAGGAGAAAAGCAACTTAGAACTAAGGAGAAATTTCCTAACAGTGAGAGCAATCAACCTACGGGATAGCTTGCCTTCAGAAGTTGTGGGTGCCCCATCACTGGAGGCTATCAAAAAGAGACTGGACAACCATTTGTCTGAAATGATATACGGTCTCCTGCTCTAGCAGGTGGTTGGACCAGAAGACCTTTGAGGTCCCACCAACTCTATCATTCTATGTTCTATGTTTGGATCTCAGAGGGATTGTCAAGGGAGAAAGCAATAGTTTTGATGATAAACCGCTCTAGAGAGTTGAAGACCTGAAAACTTTGAAGATCCACCTCCTTCGGGATCTATCCTAGCAGCTGATTCCCAATGGATCCATCCTGTTCATCAACAGATCCCTCAGAAGGTCAGGCAGCTGCTCCTCTGAATGGAGTTATTGACACTGGAAGCTTTTAAAGAAGTTTTTAAAAATCTTTAAAAGCTTCCAGTGTCGATAACTCCATTCAGAGGAACAGCTGCCTGACCTTCTGAGGGATCTGTTGATGAACAGGATGGATCCTGATTTTGTAATAGTTTTTGTTTTATTCGGGAGTTTTTCCCCTAGCCAAACAAATTTTGTTGTTACTTTATTTAACTCTTCAAAAAATTTCCTTCCTAATTTTATTGGTATTGTTTGAAAGAGAAATTAAAATGTTTGTAATATATTCATTTTGATTGTTTAGTTTAGTTTAGTTTTATTAAATGTATATACCGCCCTACTCCCGAAGGACTCAGGGCGGTGAACAGGCAAAAGATAAAATACAGAAATACAAAAGTTAAAAACAATTTAAAACCAAATTAAATAATATTGGCCCACGACAATTAAAATCCCAATAAATTTAAAACAAATTAAAATTTCAATTTAAAATTTAAAAGAAAGGGGAGAAAAATTAGGCCAGGCCGGCTTGCTGGAATAGATTGTGGCTATTCTTCCAATTAATGGTAGTTGTAATTTTCCCCAATTATCCCAATCTTTTTTTTTACTTGTTGGAGCAGTTTATTGTAATTATCCATTTTAATCGATGAACATTTTGCCGTCAACCAGATTCCCAGATATTTAACTTTCTTAGTTGTCTGTATTTCCAGCTTCCTCTCTAATTCCTTTTCCTGGCTATTGGTAAGATTTTTGGTTATTAACTTTGTCTTTTCTTTCTTTATTTTAAGCCCTGCCACCTTACCAAATTCTTCTATTTCTCGTACTTAAACTTTAAAAAGTTTTTAAGAAGAGACTGCACAGGCCTTTGTCTGGAATGGAACAGGGGTCTCCCTCTTGAGCAGGGGGTTGGAGTAGAACAGTGGTCATCAACTGGTGGTCCGTGAGAAAATTTTGGTTGTCCACAGAAAAATTATTTGCATTTTTTTATATTGCACTAAATCAGGGGTCCCCAAACTACGGCCCCTGGGACAGATACATGCAATGAACGTTTGTGTTGTTGTAGAGAGTCTCCCCCTTCGGGGTCTTTTTGTGTGGGTCGGAGGGGGGCAGAAATTCCGACTTGGGGTCTGCTTCAGCCTCCTGGTGTGGGGCTGTGGGCGAAGGCAGGAGGGAAGCGCCGCTGGTGGCGAAGAGCCGGAGAGCCTCGTTCCAGTGGGACTGCCTCATGGCCTGGAACTGACTGACCATCTCAACCTGCTGAGCCTCCAGGCGCCAGTACCTGGCCTTGCACTCCCGCAGGTCTTCCCTCTGCTTGGAAAGCCTATGCTCCTAGTCCTCAGTGAGGTGCTTCTGCTGAGCCTCCTTCTCGGCCAGATCCAATTTGAACTGAGCCAGCTGTTTTGCCAACTCTTTCTTGTGGTGGCTGCTTAGCTCTAACAACTGCTTCCTGTTGGGATCCTAAGGAGCCCGGGCGGGGAGGCGCGGAGTGGCTGGGAGGGGAGGGGCAAGTAGAGGCTGGCGAGGTGCCCCTTGACGTGAGTGACATCGAGTTGGCCACACCCACCAAGTCACATGACTATCCAACCACGCCCACCCAGCCGGTCATTAGGCAGATCATATTAGCGGTCCGCGGGATTTAAAATTATGAATTTAGTGGTCCCTGAAGTCCGAAAGGTCGGTGACCCCTCGATTAGAAGACCTCCAAGTCCCTGTTATTCTGAGAAAAAAAATCACAGTATTAAGACAAAGACTTTGAGGACGACGAGTTCCTGTTTTGAAGTTGCTGCCAGGAGTGGAGGACTCGGCCCACTTCCTTGGCTGTGGGTCTGTTTTTCAAGCCCTCCGGGTCAAACTTTTCCTTGTCACCTGAGAAGGAAAGACTCGGAGTTTGTTCGACAAGAGAAGGGAAGGGCAGACGGAGGACATTAACGGATGCAATGGAAAAAAAAAAAAAAGTGCCGTCCGGAGAACAAAACCAGCAGCAAAAAAAAAAAAGGACTCATCAGCCAGGAAAGGTGTTGAGAGGTATCCCGGCCAACCCATTCAATGTGTTTCAAAGTAGGAGGACGGGACTCTGGAAGCCAAGCAGGACGATGTCGTCAATATTCTTTTGTTTGGCGTCCGCCGCGCAAGCTAATCTCCTGGCCTCTTGCTCCCAACTCATTAGAGCCCTGATCAGGTTCTGTTCGAAGAATGGCTCAACTTTCCTACTTCTTTTGTACCAAGGAAACGGCACTAAATCCCGATTTGACTACCTCACACCTGAGACAATAACCGCCTGGTTGAATGGTGATGGCTTAGTCCTCGACCTACGACCACAGCCGAGCCCAAAATTTCCATCCCTAACCAGGACAGCTGTTCCGGGCCAGTTTTTGGCCCATTTTTACCATCTTCCTAGCCACGGCTTTTAAGGGAATGACTGCAGTTGTTCGGCCAGTAACATGGTTGTTAAGCGAATCTGGCAGAAGGTCAATCAATCAATCAGAATAGAAGCTGGAAGGGACCTTGGAGGCCTTCTAGTCCAACCCTCTGCTCAAGCAGGAGATCCTATACCAGTGATGGCTAACCTTTTTGCCATTGAGTGCCAAAAGCGGGGGAGCGGGGGGGGTCGCGCGCATGTGTGCCCACACCCATAATTCTATGTGCCCCGCTCCCTGCGCATGTGCGTGTGACCACCCCCCCCGCTCCCTCCACTTTTGGCACGCGGTGGCATGGTGGGCCACCGCATTTCTGACGGAACCGGAAGTCAGGAAACAAGCCATTTCCGGCCTCCGGAGGGGTGGGGAAGGCAATTTTCGCCCTCCCCAGGCTCCTAGAAAGGCTCTGGAGCCTGGGGAGAGCGAAAAACAGGCCTTCTGGTCCCACCAGAAGTCAGGAAACAGGCCGTTTTTGGCCTCTGGAGGGCCTCGGGGAGGGGGGGGAAGCCATTTTCATCCTCCCCAGGCTCCTAGAAAGCCTCTGGAGCCTGGGGAGAGCAAAAACCGGGCCTTCCTCACACCGCACCTCACCCGGAGACCCTCCAGAGGCCAAAAACGGCCTGTTTCCCGACTTCTGGTGGGCCCAGAAGGCCCAAAAATCAGCTGGCCAGCACACGCATGCACACCGGAGTTCAGCTCGCGTGCCCACCAATATGGCTCCGTGTGCCACCTGTGCCATAGGTTCACCATCACAGTCCTATACCATTTCAGACAAGTGGCTGTCCGGTTTCTTCTTAAAAACCTCCAGTGATGGAGCACCCACAACTTCTGGTGGCAAGCTGTTCCGCTGGTCGATTGTCCTCACTGTTAGGAAGTTTCTCCTTAGTTCCATGTTGCACCTCTGCTCGATTAGTTTCCACCTATTGTTTCTTGTCCTGCCTTCCGGTCCTTTGGAACAGGGGTCACCAACCTTTCGGACCTCAGGGACCACTAAATTCATAATTTTAAATCCCACTGACCACGAATATGAATTTTTTTAAAAGATAAATAGTATTTAGGGCAATATAAAAAAATGCAAATAATTTTTCTGCAGACCACCAGCCTCTTCTGTGCCTTCTTCACAAGCATGTTAGCATTCATAGTCCCTGAGAGGTCCTCCGAGATATAAATGCCCAGAAATTTAAAACTACCCACCCTCTCCACCTCCTCACCATTTATGTACAGGTGAGGTGAGATGAATCCCGACTGGTCATCCCTGTCAGCAGGACACCAAACAGGAGCCATAAAGCATTCATAACCAGTTGAGTTGAGTCTTGGATTCACTCTTGGGCCCTTGTGACTCCTGTCCTTGAAGACTCTCGCAAGGGTGGCTTCACAGAGACCGCGAAGGCATTCTCAACTTTTGTTCTTGAACAGTTTGAAACCAGATTGGCCAAGGAACCGCCAGTTGCCATGGAGCTAGATTTTTTCCATTGTCACACCCATGGTGTGGCACAAATACTTTGTGGTGATGAGAAAGGGAAGGAAGGGAAGGGAAAGAAGAGAGAGGGAGGAGGGAAGAAGAGAGGAACGAAGATTAGAAAGTGAAGGAAGGGAAGAGTAAGAAGAGGGAGGGAAGGAAGGAAGGAAGGAAGGAAGGAAGGAAGGAAGGAAGGAAGGAAGGAAGCAAGGAAAGAAGCAAGGAAGGAAGGAAGGAAGGAAGATGAGAAAGGGAAGGAAGGGAAGGGAAAGAAGAGAGAGGGAGGAGAGAAAAAGAAAGGAAGGAAGATGAGAAAGGGAAGGAAGGGAAGGGTAAGAAGAGGGAGGGAAGGAAAGAGGGAGGGAGGGAAGGAAAGGAAGCTGAGAAAGGGAAGGAAGGGAAGGGAAAGAAGAGAGAGGGAGGAGGGAAGAAGAAAGGAAGGTAGATGAGAAAGGGAAGGAAGGGAAGGGTAAGAAGAGGGAGGGGAGGGAGGGAAGGAAAGGTGGGAGGGAGGGAGAGAGGGAGAGAGGGAGGAAGGAAGGAAGATCAGAAAGTAAAGGAAGGGAAAGTAAAGAACAGGGAGGGTGGGAGCGAGGGAGGGAGGGAGAATAGAAGGTGAGAAAGGGAAAGAAGGGAAGGGAAAGAAGAGGGAGGGAGGAGGGAAGAAGAAAGGAAGGAAGATGAGAAAGGGAAGGAAGGGAAGGGTAAGAAGAGAGAGGAAGGAGGGAAGAAGAAAGGAAGGAAGATGAGAAAGGGAAGGAAGGGAAGGGTAAGAAGAGGGAAGGAAGGAAGGAAGGAAGGAAGGAAGGAAGGAAGGAAGGAAGGAAGGAAGGAGAGAAAGGGAAGGAAGGGAAGGGAAAGAAGAGGGAGGGGAGGGAGGGAAGGAAGGAAAGGTGGGAGGGAGGGAGGGAGGAAGATCAGAAAGTAAAGGAAGGGAAAGTAAAGAACAGGGAGGGTGGGAGCGAGGGAGGGAGGGAGAATAGAAGGTGAGAAAGGGAAAAAAGGGAAGGGAAAGAAGAGGGAGGGAGGAGGGAAGAAGAAAGGAAGGAAGATGAGAAAGGGAAGGAAGGGAAGGGTAAGAAGAGAGAGGGAGGAGGGAAGAAGAAAGGAAGGAAGATGAGAAAGTGAAGGAAGGGAAGGGGAAGAAGAGGGAGGGAGGGAGGAAAGGAAGGAAGGAAGGAAAGAAAGAAGGAAGGAAGGAAAGGAAGCTGAGAAAGGGAAGGAAGGGAAGGGAAAGAAGAGAGAGGGAGGAGGGAAGAAGAAAGGAAGGTAGATGAGAAAGGGAAGGAAGGGAAGGGTAAGAAGAGGGAGGGGAGGGAGGGAAGGAAAGGTGGGAGGGAGGGAGAGAGGGAGAGAGGGAGGAAGGAAGGAAGATCAGAAAGTAAAGGAAGGGAAAGTAAAGAACAGAGAGGGTGGGAGCGAGGGAGGGAGGGAGAATAGAAGGTGAGAAAGGGAAAGAAGGGAAGGGAAAGAAGAGGGAGGGAGGGAGAGTGGGAGGGAAGGAAGGAAGGAAGGAAGGAGGGAGGGAAGGAGGGAGGGAAGGATTTTTTTTTTTAATGGCAAGCTGGCCCAGCTAGCTCAGGACAAATTTTGCCATAATGGCAATTTCTGTTTCCATTTCCTCCCTTTCTCTCTCTCTCTCTGTTAATATAATATATATTAAATTAATACAATATATTAAAAGCCAGAGAGAGAGGAGTTTTAAAAATAGAAAATGCACTACGGGCTTCTTTTATGAAGTCTTTTAAATAAATCATCATTGCCAAGGCATTAATAGGTGGATTCCCATCTAATATTAGCTGAATGCTGCTTCAGCAGGGAGACGAAGGGGCCAGGATGAAAGGAAGCAGGGTATGCATTCAGACGGACAGTCGGATTCCATCTTTATTAGCTATGGTGGAGGGGAGGTAGGAGGTTACAGGCAGTCCTCGACTTCTGACCACAATCGAGCCCAAACTTTCTGTGGTCAAGTAAGACATTTGTTGCCAAGCAATCTGAATTTTGATCCTACGATCATAGAGAGGCCACAAAGGTTGAAAGCGCGAAAAATCATCATAAGATACTTTTTTCAATGCCGTCGTAACTGTGAACAGTCAGTAAATGAATCTTTGGAAGTCAAGAAATTCTTTCCATCGTGGATTTTACCCCGACGGGAAAAAATCACACATGTACAAGAGGCGTTTTTAAAAAGACGTGCGGGCAGCTGTACGCAATTGTGGCACATCTGCTTCTCTTGTGTTATGGGTTGGGAAGGCACGAAGCAATGATTAAAAAATTGAGTTTTTGTATGGGAATTCACATGGGAATGGTTAAAAAATGGAAACAATGACTGTTCCCTGGAACTATTGGAAAAAAGCCATAATCTGAGACACCACCACCCCAACTCAAGAAGCCAGACCCTTAATTACAAAAACAACAATTTTTAAGAGCCTTGGTGGCGCAGCAGATTAAAGTGCTGTTAAGTAGCACCAGCTGCCTGCAATTATTGCAAGTTCAAATCTCACCAGGCTCAAGGTTGACTCAGCCTTCCATCCTTTCGAGGTAGGTAAAATGAGGACCCGGATTGTGGTGGCAATAAACTGATTTTGTATAAAAAATAACACCGCTTAGGGGGGGCCGAAAGCCCTACTAAGCAGCTATATACAAAAGTATGAAGGCTATTGCTTAACGCATTGTAAACCACCCTGAGTCTCCGGAGAAGGTGCGGCATATAAATTGAACCAATAAATAAATAAACAATGGGAAATGCAGTAGATTATCAACCGAGTGATTCCTTTTCTCACCATCACACCAATTTTTTTAACTACCGGTTCTGTGGGCGTGGCTTGGTGGGCATGCCTTGGTGGGCGTGGCAGGGGAAGGATACTGCAAAATCCCCATTCCCTCCCCACTCCTTGGGAAAGAATACTGCAAAATCTCCATTCCCACCCCACTCTGGGGCCAGCCAGAGGTGGCATTTGCCGGTTCTCTGAACTGCTCAAAATTTCCGCTACCAGTTCTCCAGAACCTGTCAGAACCTGCTGGATTTCACCCCTGCATCACACTCAAAATAGTCCCTTGGCTCACGAGAATCTCAGAGATTCAATCTCAGAACAAACCATTCAAGCTATGTCACTGAGCCCTGGTGGCGCAGCAGACTAAAGCACTGTTATTAACATCAGCTGCCTGCAATTACTGCAAGTTCAAATCTCACCAGGCTCAAGGTTGACTCAGCCTTCCATCCTTTCTAAGGTAGGTAAAATGAGGACCCAGATTGTGGGGGCAATAATCTGACTTTGTATAAAATATACAAAAGTATGAAGGCTATTGCTTAACGCATTGTAAGCTGTCCTGAGTCTCCGGAGAAGGGCGGCATATATATCAAACCAAAAAAAAAAAGAGAGAGAGAGAGAGAGAGAACACTTTCCCCATCTAAATAATTGGGAACACCAATACGTCATAGGATTCGAAGCAGCCTCTCTCCAAAGGTTTCCTTTTCCTAATTTCCAGGACATATACTGTATCTTTCGGACTATAAGACACACTTTTTTGTCTCCCAAAAGGGGGTGAAAATGTCTTATAGACTGAATTTTGCCGAAGCCCCATCAGCCGTTTTTTGGGCTCCATACACCCCATTTTGGGGGCTTTTTTCGGCCTTTTTCAGGCCTTTTTTCGGCCCATTTTCAAGGCTTTTTTTGGGCCTGTTTTCGAGGGTTTTTTCAGCCTTTTTCAGGCCTTTCTTTGGCCCATTTTCAAGGCTTTCTTTCAGCCCATTTTTAAGGCTTTTTTCAGCCTGTTTTCAAGGTGCTTTTTTTGGCCCATTTTAAAGGCTTTTTTGGCCTGTTTTTGAGGCTTTCAAAAACGGGCTGTAAAAAGTCTCAAAAAAACGGGCTGGAAAAAGGCTGGAAAGGGCCTGAAAAAAGGCCGCAAAAAAGGCCTGAAAATGGGGCACACGGAGGCCAAAAACTTCTTTTTTTTTTTCCTTTTCTAAATTTAGGTGCGTCTTATAGTCAGGTGTGTCTTATAGTCCAAAAAATACAGTACATTGACCAAACTCTTCCTAATCTTGGAAGTTGTATGCCATCTACTGAACTTACTTTCGGGATAAGTCATATTTTCAGGGGAAAAGGGTATATTGCATCCAAAGTAGAATTAATGGCCAAAGGTTGGTTTTGAATTCCGCACCTCCAAAATTTTTGACCTGCATTAATCATTTCATCTGCTCTACAGGTATCCTAGGGTCATGTGTAGGGAGGGAGGGAGGGAAGGAAGGAAGGAGGGAGAGAGGGAGAAGGAAGGAAGGAAGGAAAAAGGAAGGAGGAAGGGAAGGAGGAAGGAAGTAGGGAAGGAAGGAAGGAAGGAAGGAAGGAAGGAAGGAAGGAAGGAAAAAGGAAGGCGGGAGGGAGGGAAGGAGGGAGGGAGGGAAAGAAAAAAGAAGGGAGGGGGAAGGAGAGAAGGAGAGGGAAGGAGGGAAGAAAGGAAGGAAGGAAGGAAGGAAGGAAGGAAGGAAGGAAGGAAGGAAGGAAGGAAGGAGACGTTATAACTTTGAACAGTCACTAAATGAACTGTCGTAAATCAAGCACTACCTGAACTTGGAGTAAATCTAAGGCATCCCAGCAAAAGGCGAGCTGCTTTCGTGCCTAGATTGGTGCCAATAAAGTGAATTTAGCACAAACACGGAGCTCAAAGCAAAAGAAACCAGGCAGTTGCCATATCCCTTCCTCCCTAGCAACAACGATAAAGGGAGGCAGAATTCCAAATTACAAAACGAGTAAGATGAGACCAAAGACGTCGGCTCTAAGATCCAGGCAAATTTTCTGGTCAGCAAAACTTAGCTGCTTGTTAAGACAAGGGCGAAGGCAGGTCCATCCTGAGGGTTCATTTAAATTAGTGGCATTAAACCTGAGCTGAAAGTGATGCTTCTTAAGTGAAAAATGACAACTGTCCAAGCGCATTCTGTTTTTAGGAGTGAAAAAAAACCCCATAAATGAAATATATAAAGGAGTAACATGAGACATGTATGTCCGATGGTAAAACATCTATTTGCGAATGTCTATGGAGATTCTCAGTCGTTCAGGTCATAGTTGTCCCAAAGATGCTTTTTCAAAAGGCACCTGGATTTTCTTGCTTTTTGATCTGCGGCGGTCCA